CACGCTAGGCCGCATGCACCACACACTGCATATCCTTGTGCCTGCTAATTTATTTATTTATCTCTGTTTCCATCCATCTACTTTCAAAAACATTCGCGAAAAAGACAGCTCGCTCATCCCGGTTCAGCACACGACGAATACACTAGAAAGACAAGACGATGCTAATGACAAAAATATGGCGACAATTATGCATTTATTTCTCCTTTCAGCTGCATGTAGAGAGCTGAAGTGGCTTTAAAGAGAAAAGAGTTATTTTAAAATGAGCTGTATCTTTAACAAACACCTATACATTTGTGGGTTTAATGTCGCTAGCATATAGAATGGGCCAGCTAAACTAATTAGCCACCGTTAGTTCAGACATGACTCTAACCATAAATATTGCGAAATTTTTTAAGAAAGGAGAGAGAAGAGTTTTAAAGTTGACATTAGAAGAAAAAACATGGGTGAGTTTGTCACGAGTTACAAACCATCATCAGCGAAGAATTTTATGCACAGTTGAATGACTAAAAATGAAAGTTGGAGTTTTTTTGTATGCTAACAAAAAAACTTTGTTGAGTTCGCAGGAATTGAATTCTGATAGCTGGTATACCATAAACTGTACAGAGTAACACCCTTAAGACGTGTTTAACTGGAGAACGCCACATTTATGAAAGAAGACAATGAGGTGCATAAGCTAATGGACCAACAGCTAGCACAGTGGTAATAGCAACACTGCTTGTATCCGTTACAAAAGCTCTGTTACACATTAAACTCAAAAAAAAAATAACAATAACAATAATAACAATAATAATAGAATGATTTAATTTAATTTAATTTAATTTAATGAGTTTAAAATATTTTTAGAGACTAGAGCATTGATAGACTGGGTCGTTAGCAAGAGAAGCTAACGACCCAGTTTGTCAGCTTGGCTAAAGCAAGAAGGTGAGCGACTCAATTTTGTTGTAGAGACCACTGTGATAAAACAAAGCTGAATTACAGATATCTTGACATTGTAAATATCTTGAAGAAAATACCACTACTCAAAATGATATTGATATCTGTATTTTAATTCCGGATAGGCAAACTCAGCTAATAAATGTTAGAACAGCTTTGCATATTTAGAGTCTGAAATGACATTAGTTCTAGTAAAAAATGTGTGTTAGTAGCTGGCAGGAAGTGAGCCAGTTCAGACAGAGAGGAACTCTAATGTAAATGTTGTACAGGCTTAAGAAAAGGGTGAGCCTGAGGAAGCCAGAATAAAGTTTTTGGTGTATTAGAATGAATAGGGTCCCATCTGGAAACAAGAAACAATGTGCCACCTACAGCAACACAAGTTCAATCAGTTGAAAAGAAAATGTATTGACAAGTTACAAGTGTTTCAAATAAATTTGAACAAACGCCACATTAACCCTTTTACAAATGAGGGTATTTACAGTATTATTTCATAAACTGTGCTGCTCAATGTCAATTTAAGGGGGCTCACAAATAGTTTTTTCAGATTAGGGATCATCATCTGAAGCATCTAATATCTTATTGTTCTAGGAAGTGATGAATGAATGACAGTGAAGATAATAATTTGTGAACTACACATTCCCAAGAAGTGACCTTAAAGACCCCTAGAAACACCAGTGTAAAGAGCACTTTATTATAAAACAGATCTGGATTATACAACACGGTGTAAAACCATACATCATTCAGGGCCAGAATTACTCTTGCCAACACTTTAACTTTGAGTGGAGTGGAAAAAGCAGGCAGAGTAACTTTGCACTTTTAGACCACTGTGCCAGGCAAGATTAATCAATCCCCAAGTAATTAAATGAATCCATGTCAAACAGTAATTCAAACCCGGTGTGCTGTCCAGCTATACAGCTAGTGCTACATAAGGCCTCCATTCTGCCAAAACTTTCCTCTTTAGAGCCAGTGATTGTTGTACGGAGCTTTAGCAAAAGTGGGAGACTGCTATGTTCAGCACACCAAAGCACTCTTGGACAGCCGTGGCGTTTAAGCCCGGCCAAGTATCATCAAAGTGCCGGTTTGGCAGCTGCCCTGAGGGAAGGCAGCCAAGGCCAAGGGAGGTTCTAAACCTGACACAGCTACACAAGCACAGGAAGGTGTTAAAGGCATGTTCGCCAGGTACGCTTCTCCAACAGTATCACATCACATGCTTCTGCTTAACTTTTGTTTAACAAGGCCACATGAGGAAGTCCTCTTTACAGTAACAGGAAGTGGCCAATACACCAAACAGAAATGCAATAAATAGACTGACAGTTTTGTTTTTTGTTTTTTTTAACTCCATTTTGTTGATTGCATGTCTTGCAACTGTGTTAATCAAGCAAATTTGCAATCATCTTGATATGCTTGTTCCACTGTGGCAGTGAAATAGACTAAATGGCAATGTTCTCATTAGATGCTCGGAAAGCTGTCTTTCTGCTGGTTGTCTGGAGCATAGACTGTATAAAAGATGGACGTAGCAACCGGCCCTGAAAAATGAAGCCAACCCGGAAGTGTCAAAAACCTGCAATATCACTACGTCCGCTAGTCCTGGCTCCAAAAAGCCCTGGCTCCCATAGAAATGAATTGGAAAAGAAGTGATCACAGATCACGAAATACCGCATTCCTACAGCTCAGGATTTTATTAAAATTAGTTTTCATGGTTAAGTCCAGAGATCAGGTGGCCAATCTGAAAATAAATCAATACTGAATTTTTAAAAAATCGTCAACATTTTGCAGGGCAAGGGGCGTGGCTGGCTTGATTGAAAGTTGGCAGCGACCATACAGATGAAGCGAGCAGAAAGCGGTAAATGTGGGCGGGCAGAGAGGGCCCGCCTCTCAATCCGTCTGACCAATCACTGCTCCTATGGCTCCGCCCCCCTCCGACGATTTTTGCGTCACTGGCTCCAAAAATCCAAGATGTCAACTAGGAAGTAGCAAAACCCTGGCTTCATTTTCTCAGTGCAGAAAACAACGGGTGACGTCACGGTAGCTACATCCATCTTTTATACAGTCTATGGTCTGGAGTCGTCATTGTGATGACCGACCTTTCGAGAAATAAGTTCTATTGGGCAAAAATAGTCCAACACGTTTTACACTTTGATTTTTAAACAGATTTTGAAAAAATATTTAAAACAACGTATAATTTGTGAGCTTTACAGGTTTGGGTAAATGGATTTTGTCTTCCTGTTTCTAGTTTTTGTGCTAAGCTAAGCTAATAGACTGTAGCTTCATACTTCCTTTAAGTCTCAGAAGCATTTAAAAACAAGGACATTTGTCAGATTCTGAAACTGAAGTAAATCAAGTAATTGTTAGAACTTTGCTTTCGTAAATCTACAGCTATAATCAAAGGGTTACTTCAACCATATTAAAAGTTTTTGGTCCCTAGGAGATGGAAATCAACTTTTCCAATCTCTGTAGACTTGCATTAAAATTGTTCCTACATTCTTTGGGGTCTTCTTAGTCATAGGGACACTGTGTTGGAAAAGTGCAGCTGTGCTAGAAAGTGGAGTGAAAAGCCAGAAAGAGGAGAGACATAATATAGAACAACAGGGATAACAGCACACATTTTCAGATAATCTTTTGAGACAGACACTGATAGTGCTGCATTGAGTTGTTAACATGAGAAGTGCCACAAATAATTAAGCAGCAAATGAGGAATGAGTGTGAGGAAAAAAAGGTACAATCTCTGTCTTCTCTTTCACCTCTGCACAACCAGCCAATTGCACTGTGAGGTGGGTGTAAAAATGGAATCGTCAGTTTCAGAAGATTACACAGAAATTGTGACACAGTCGCGAATATTGTGAATCAAGTGTTCAAGGATGCAGTCCACCCCCCGTGCATTTCAGTCAGACCACAAATCCTGCTTAAAATTGACACTTGTAGCCACAGATGTGACAGTCGATAGCAATCGTATGATGTACGACCACGGATGAATCGAATGGCAACAGACACACCAGCAATCAATATTTAAACCAGTATTTTGAATGAGGTTTTTGTTTCCTTGCCAAAAATGTTCTTCAAATAGTCAAATAGGGTGGCTGGGGTTGAGGTTACAGGGCAGGTTGTCCCCTAAACGCATGGTTGGTGCTTCATTCCCCAGCCCCTCTACAGACCGGAGTGTCCTTCAGTAAGACATTGAACCCAAAGTTGCTTTAAGGGCAGGTTGAGCAGCTTTACCTTTATTCATGTGAGTGAATGTGTGGATGAGAAACACTGTAAAGCAGGGGTGTCCAATCCTGGTCCTCGAGGGCCACTGTCCTGCACGTTTTAGATGTGTCCCTCTTCCAACACACCTGATTCAAATGATCAGGATCGTTATCAGGCTTCTGCAGAGCTTGATGATGAGCTGACTGATTGAATCAGGTGTGCTGGAAGAGGGAAACCTCTACAACATGCAGGACAGTGGCCCTCGAGGACCAGGATTGGACACCCCTGCTGTAAAGTGTTTTGAGTATTGCTAAGATCAAAAAGTGTAGTGCAGACCATTTACTATTCAGTGGGTCATTCACGATTTGGCTCAGATTTTTTTGTTTCCAGAGAAGCTGTGGTTGCTTATCAGTTAGTGTTCAAGATCCACATTGTTTAACGACTTCTTGACTTACTTCTGGTGACATGTCAAGCTATAAAACTATATACTAATGAAGATAGAGGCCGCTCTGAAAAACAAATCTGTCAGTGTAAAAATGACCTGCTGGGTGACGATAAAGGAAAACCAGCAGATCTGGGGAATATATGAATGTTTAGTTGATAGTGATGATGGAATTCCGTCTGCAAGATCACCCCACAATGACACCATTAATTAAATGATAATACATGCCGCGTGAATAACATTAAAGTTACTTCCACTACTGCTGCTACTGCTGCTAATGATACACCTCGCACGACTTGCAATAATAATAATAATAGACACACTGGCAGACAGAAAGACACACATATATGCATACTGTCTGAACCCATTAAGATACGTCGTCTTAAAGGTTGCAGGCAGAGTTATGCAGTCCAGAAAAGAAAAAGAACACAGCACTCACCACTTTCTCCTCCTGCAGCCCAGCCAGCCATCCATGTATAATGAAAAGAAAGACAGAGAGAATGTGAGCAAAGATGATATCTGAAAGCATGGCAATGATCTTACAGCCCTGCCAGTTACACAGATAGTTCAGTTTTTCCAGTAACCTACATAAACTCTCACCAAACAGGAAAGAAAATGCGATGGATCCTTTAAATGTCTGCTCTTCTTCCAACAAGTACTCCAACAACAAAAGGCTGCGTGTCACTATATGGCTCAACAGCTTCATGGTTTAGGCCTTGTGCAGTTTAGTCTAATAACATGTTTAAGCAATATGACCAAAAGAAAGCAGTGTCAAAGTCACAAGCTTTGTACTCTGTCGTCAGATTTTGTTCTGCTGTGACAATGGCAGACTATAACTTTACTACTGAAAGAGGCCAGCTGTTATAAACATGACCAGAAGAGGTCACTAGGCAGAACAAAACATGGATGAACTGCTTTTACCTTAACTGTCTTCTTTTTGACAGTGTTAATTTGATTTCTTTTAAATAGTTAAATGAAAACACTGATACAAACATGAAGCACGGTGATAAAGCAAGCCCCTCTACCCCTGAAGTCCACAAACATGCCCACCAAAACCTTACAGTTGTGTTGGCTAGCTGCCTTGATGGACGACACAAGTTGTAAAATGAGCACACCTCCTTGCAGTCCAAAAAGAAAAAGAGTCACCGCCTTCCTCACGTTGATAACAGTGCACTGAAGAAGACTGCTGTTGTAAAAATTATCTGGGCTTAAGTTGTGCTATTGACGTGCATGGTTTAACTAGGTATGTGAGGCTCATGCTATGCTAATGCTAAACTAGCATGTCATTGAATTGAGTAGCTGCTCAGGTAACGCAGGAGTGTCAGACATTAGAGAGCAACTCCAATGCTGCCAACATTAAGAACTAGCAGGACTCTAATTCCACATGCTTCAGACAAAATTAAAACATGTATCAGTGACAAGTCTGTACTTTGAATATGCATTCAGACTGATGACAATTAAAGGAAAAACCAACATAGAATGGCTTGTAAGATGTTTCAATGTGCCTTGGCATTGATTCAACAAGTATCTGGGTTCTACTGTTGGAAAAACACCATTCTTCCAAAACATATCCCATCACTTGGTGGTTTGACGATGAACCCAAACCATACCAGCAAAAACGTCCCCCACAGAGCCACTGGATTCCCTCACAAAAGGGGTCAAGGGTTTGTTTTTTTCCCTTAATTTTGTCACCCATCTGTACATTTTGGCAGTGCTAGTGAATAGTAAAAAAAAAAAAAAAATCCCTGAACTGATAAAGTTGATGCAACAGTATTTGTGCTCATCTGTTCAGACTGGGCAGCTGTTTCCAGCTGCAAAATGGGTCACATTTGTTTAATTGTTGGATGTGTCCGAAACATCTAATCTGATTGAATTTATGTGCAGCTGTTTTTGGTGTGTAACACTTTCAATTTTATCGGGCCAGTCTTTGTATAGTAACGGACAGGAGAGGGAGCCCAACAATTTGATATTACGTTAATATTTTGTGTTATTTAATTTAGAAAATCAAGGTGTTTATATCTTCTTCAGATTTGGAATGTATACTATAATGACTCTGCAGTGAACTTCAGTGGCAGTGGTAAAAAAAAAAAAATAATAATAAAATTAAAAAAACTTTACTGCCCTAAGTGTCTGTACACTGTAATGTCATTATTTTTATTTTTTTTCAAATTATGGATTGTTGGTTATTAACATGACACATGGAAATAGTTGAACATTTGCTTTCCAATAAATGTCTGTATTAATTAAAGTGTTTAAGCAAACAACCAGTGGTGTCATGTTTCTGTTACACAGCCATCGTTGGGCACTAATCCCAGCATTATGTTAAAAGTAAATATACTTAAGTAAAAAGTAGTACCCTGTGAAAGCCTTGTTTGTTTGAAGCACATTCTGCTTGTGTGTGTACATGTGCTAAATCCAGCTTTCAAAGACCTTCTCCCACTGAATGCAGCTGCCCCTTCCCAACACACCACCCAGAAGCCCACAGCTGAACTCTCCCCACGTCAGCCGCTAACTAATTAGGATGTACTTTTGAGTGTCTGTGTGTGTGTGTTTGTGTGTGTGAGGTCATTAAATGCCATCCCGGCAATGTAGGGGAGGGAAGGGGGTGGGAGACGGGACGTCACTTAATTCAGAGGAAGACTCGCCTCACAGCACCAACACACACACACACACACACACACACACACGTATACCCCGCTGAGTGTGTATAGGGCACCTCCGGACCCCTGGGAGACTGAGACAGAGTGGGAGACCACCCCCTCTGTCCACAGCTCAGTCTAATGCCCAATTAACCTTTACCAGCCCTTGCCTGGGTCACACACACATGCAGGCATAGCTCACATTCACACACATGGGTGGAGGCACGCAAAAGCACACAGTGACATACACTGATCTCATATACAGTACATATCAACACACATCCAGAGCACTCTCTCTCTATATATACACACATAAACACACACACATATGTGCCATGGCTCATCACCTCCACCTGAGATCCACCACCTGAGGCCTGATATGACAGACAGTATAGACCTCTGTGAACAGCTGCATGTGTTAGAAGTGTGCTGAGAGCAGATTTTGGCTCCATGATGGCACGAACCTTGTGGCTGTGCACAATATATGTTGTTGCAGGAAACAGACTTTGTGTGTGTGTGTGTGTGTGTGTGTGTGTGTGTGCACATTTTTGCTGTTAGTAATATAAAAAATATAAATTAATGAATACACTCATCTTTTAAGCATCAAATATAAAGCTTATTTTATTATATCAACATGAAATTAATTTTAAAAAAGCTTCTCTGTGTTTCCACATTTTGAGTTTTCTTTATTGTCGTATTTTCCATTTATTTAATTGTGTATTTTATCATCCATATATTAGTGACTTTAAAGGGACTAACTTCAATGTAAAGTCAGAGTGGATGTGTGTTTAATGTGTTACTATTTGCCTTGCTAGTGCTACTTTTACATGGAATTTATTACCAACTACCTCATTTTAATATATATAAACTAATAAATAAATTCAGGAAATTATATATAAATAAAAACAATGAATCAATAAATAAGTTGTAGTAATAATGTTGTATCTCTGGATAGTTATTTATTTTGAAAATCTTAATAAATATATTTGTTACATCATTTTCTATTAATTGGCTAAGACCTAAATGAGAAAAATGACCTTGTTTTAACTCGTCCAGTTGGCTACCATAGACGAGTGTTAATTCAACTTAATGGTAATTTTGGAAGCTGCAGTGCTGTTTAAATGCACTGTTGTACACTAAGCAGTGTTTCCAATATTTTGTCCACCCCATTGGTGTCAGTGAGGGCAAGCTAAATGTTTGCTTAACATGTATTATATAAACTGCTCTGTGTTATTTGACAAAAATAGAAATCTGTGGTTTTGTTCTGAAAAGCAACCTCCACTTATCATGGAGGTTTTCACCGCTTACATAGCAAAGCAAAGAGCTGTAACAGAAGCTTTCCTCACCGTGTTGGATCGCAGCGAGACTCGCCCCCCACAACGGGCGCAGAACTTGGTCTGGCAGTACGAACACAGGTTCCCACAGCCGTCTGCAAACTTGGTCTTGTGGCAGATGCCGCAGGTTGGTGCATCGTCCCGGTGAACGGCCGAGCCCGCCGCCGCCGAGGCCTGCCGGATCACTGTCTCCCTGTAGCTGGACAACTGCTGCTGGATACCTCTGGAAAAACAACAAAACAGAGTGGAAGCATGAGGACATTTGCATTTTGTGTAAAATCAGTGACAAAGACTACAGGCCCAAGTATGCTTTGGCCAAAGTTTAAAGAGCTCCTGAAACCTTCTCCAACGACAGCTTGACACGTTGAAACTCAAGAGGCTGCGACTGTTACTTTTAGAGCTTTAACAACATTCATGCCCACTTAACACAACAATCACCAGCTGTACAGAGCCAAGACAGCCAGCGTTTTTAACGTTTCTGTTTTCATTTTACTCATATTCCTTTGAGGAAGGACTGTCCAAGACTGCACATCATGTCTTGTCTCTTATAGATGTCGACCGCCATTTTCACTGCTCCAAGTCACTTACAATCCGCTTTCTGATGTGGTCACATGACATGTTATACAAACGAGTTCATTTTGATTATATTGCTTTCTTTCTACACTGTTGTCATTTAGCAAGTGTAGTGTTTGCCATGTGTACCATCTTAGGTTAGCATGATTTCATGCTACCATCCACTAATTAGCACAAAACACTGTGGATGCCCACTCAGAGTTGTCGAGTTGACCATGGGCCTCCACGTTACATTTCCTTCTGTTTAGGATCTCACTGTGTACATTAAAGTGTTGATGCACTGGTACCAGGTACTGACAACTCCTGTTAGATCGACCACACTCAGTTGTGGATGTGCACATAGACACCAAGAACAAAATTGTTTTTGTTATAATCTTTTTAAGTTGGCTTGGAATCTGCCAGGAGGACTCCATTCAATACATGTGCAGTGGGTCAGTGTCTTCTGTGCATTCACACTGCTGCTCCAGGAGCATCGTCACTGCACGGACATAAGGTCTGAGCTGCACGTGGATGTCTACAGAAGGGTTTGCATGGAATCGTGAATTTGGGGAGATTAGTTTTGCGATAGGTTTTGATTGTGCAGTAAAACAACCTTGCCCGTTTTTTTTTTTTTTACAGAATTAGACATTTTAGTGACACTGCTTGTCTCTCTGCATGCAAATGTTCAACCAAAACAAGCCCCCAGAAAGCTAGAGAATGGTCTGACTATGCAGACCCCAGCAGACTCACATCAACTTGTGGATGTGGAAAGTTTAACCCTGACCTAAGGACAGGTTTTCTCTGGAAAGTTATGTTTTATAGGTTTTAAACTATTCATTGAAGAATGGTGAGAGACTTGAAGCAAAGGGCCACGAGCAGGATTCAAAATCACGACTGCTGCATCGGGGAATATAGCCACAGTTCATGGGACGCCGAGCTACCGGGGATCCCCACTATGAATTGTTTTTATATAATTACAACGTTGGTGCAAGATGATTGCCAAAATTGTTAGAATTTATTCAGAGGGGACCCTAAAGGACCGTAAAAATTTCATTGCAATCCAAACATTGTTCGCCTCATGGTGACACTAGATAAAAGTTAGAGGATCACTGAGGTCACAATTATTTATCCTTTGTGGAGAATTAATGGTTTTATCAACATTTGTATCGGTCTGTTCAGTTTATTATAGATAAGAGATGCGTCTGCTACTGTATGAACGGTCTGGAGATCAAGAAAGTACGATATTAAGGTTCAGTATTTGAGCTCATACTTTGCAAAACAAGAATATCTTGATCAAGTTAGAAGATAACCCATCTGACAATTGTTGAGAAGTTTCATGCAAATTCAAAAATCCAAATACATGGTGTTACTACAGAAAAAGGAACAGAATCATTACATTTGTTGGGATTCATCTTCTGGCCACCACACATGTACAACATTTTATGGCAATCCATGCTGTAATTTTTGAGATTATTTAGCCAGAAATAAAGTGTAGGACCAGCTGAGCAACACTGCCCATATGTGGCTAAAGACGCTAAAAAAAAAATTCACCAAATGAACGTATTGCTGCTCCTGCATGAGTTCAACTGTTGTGAAGAAATGGGATGAAAAGCCGAGGCTCCATACTACTGTTTTGATCCAGTTGGTTTCAGCATTCTGCAGTAATTCCACCGACTGCGAATGACTGCAAATCACACGAGTCAAAGAGCGATAAGAAACAACGAAAAAAAATTAGAAAAGAGCAACTGTTATATTGGATAAATAATAAATAAAGGGGAGGAGAAGCGAAGTGAAACCGGAGAGCGAAGGAGACAATCGTTGCATTAAGTCCAGTCGATATCACTGTTCTCTGTACTGTTTGTGTGTTTTGGTGCAATCAACTTTTTTTTTTGTGTGTGTGTGTGTGTGTGTGCTATTGTTTCAGGCTGCTTTGCCGACAAGAAACTCTTCAAATCAATATGAGAAAGAGAGGGGAAGAGTATTGGTTTTATCTGAGACGTTACAGTATGCTGATTAATTGGATTTCACACTGTGGAGATTGAGGAGAGAGCAAATAGAGGGGAAACAGACCAAAGAGAAGAAGAACTGATGGGCTGAGAATCACAAGAGGAGAGGACATAGGCTATATACACTTTTTTTTTTTTTAATGCAGTCAGAGCTGTTTCATTTGAGCAGGCAGATCAGCTGAAAACAAATACTTATTTAGGGAGGAGTTTGAAGATGGCTCAGGAGGGAAGAAAATCACATCCCACAACATACACTGTTCATGATTATATATATATATATATGTGTGTGTCTGGATATCACAATAACAGGAGACCAGTCAAGACAGGAAGAAGAGGATTGGGGGAGATGAAGAGGAGAGTAGGGAAGAAGCAAATACTATAGGAGCGCAAAGGAGGACGAGGGAGGGCAGAGTGGGGAGAAGAAAAGAAGAAGGGGGAAAAGGTAAGAGAGGGGAAGGAAATATCGGCTGAAATGAGAAAAGCAAAGAGAATATGAGAGAATCCTACTGCCATAGAAATAAAGGGCGAGACAGAAAAGAAAGAAATGATGGTCAAACACTTCACTACCAAACACTCATGAGCAGCCGCATAGGTGCCAAATTCAGAAACAACCTCAGCTGCTCAGCCTAAATGACGGAAATCACAATAAAAAAAGTGTTATTTGACCCGAAAAAGAAACATACAGAGCCCTGTCTGTCAACAACTATGTTCCTGTACAACTTTTTTAAAGAAATGTATTTTCGTTAGGCTCCAGCCCCCCCGTGACCCTACTGAGGATTAAGCGTTGTATAGATGATAGATGGATGGATGTTTTTTTGTTACTTTGTGATGTATCCCAAATACGACTCTAAACCATTTATCTTTGCCATATGTTGTATTGCTTTCCATAGGCCCCTCCTTTCCAGCCAACCATCCATCCATCCATTATCTATACACCGCTTAATCCTCACTAGGATCTATCCCAGCTGACTCAGGATGAAGACAGGGTACACCCTGGACAGGTCACCAGTCTATCACAGGGCTACACTTAGAGACAGACAACCAAGCACACTCACATTCACACCTACGGACAATTTAGAATCACCAATTAACCTCAACATGTTTTTGGACTGTGTGGTAGGAAGCCGGAGAACCCGGAGAGAACCCACGCTGCACGGGGAGAACATGCATTTCCACGGAGAAAGATTCCGGTGCCCCCACCGGGACGCACCTTCTTGCTGCGAGGCAACAGTGCTACCAACTGCGCCACCCTGCAGCCCCTCCAGCCAACCAACCTTCTATCAAGTGGGGCAAGACTTCACCTTGGTAACCCAGATAATGGAGGACAAGCTTTAAAGTAGGCCCGGCAATACAACGATAGAGACTTGCGTCACTTAATCAATAGCAATTCAAAGAAAAGTTTGATAGCATGTTCGATGCAGATGAAAACTGCCATGAAAGGTCATAATATAAAAGCTCAGTTACATGAGCAAACAGGTCGGTCACTCACAACATTAACCTCAGCGCAGAGCAGCCGCTTCATCCAGGTCACTCTCCACGCACCCACTGTTTGCTTTTTTTTAATTAAAAGTGTAATAAGGTGAGATTACTCCTTTATCCTTCTTGAAATTTATGTGTGTAAATGTCATTTTTGAGTGTGTTTTTCCATCATTGTGTTAACAATAAAATTATCACCTGTGAACGTTGATGAATAACCTAAAAGGTGGTTAAATTCCACATTTCTGTTGATCTTTATTATAAAAAAAAGGCCCGTAAACTATCAAAAGATCACCAAGATCAACTGAAATAACACATTTTATCCATTTTAACCATAATGTTGTGTATTTTAAGCCAATCCATGATATTTTTGGATATGAACAAAATAGTTTGGGGGAGCTAAACCGAAACAAGCAGCGAGGGACAGCGAAGTAAACAGGGAGTGAAAATGTAACTTAAGTCTAGAAATAATGGTGCCACAAGGGATGCAAAGCCCAGCGCACAGAGTGGAAGTCCTGCGTTGGATTTATCACACCACCACTCCTCTAACACTGACTGTGTAGCTGTTGGAAAGCTGAAACGTTTCGTCCTATGTCACACTGTTACCTGACCAGGGGAAATGGCCAATGTAATTCAGGTGTACAGGAAAATTTTTTTACATAGCAGCTGATAAAAAAAAAAAAAAGCTGGAAAAAAACAGATGACGTACAGCCTCAGGTAGACACAGACGGAGCTGCCTACCAGGAGACAACAGGCGGTTCGCAAATCTCCCACCACACGAATGAGGATGAACTTTTTTCCACCCTGCGGGAAAAGCAGCAAAATAGCTCTCAAAGTAGCAAAGTATGTCTCTGCTCAGCACACCTCCTTCACTCGGCTTTTGGTGATCGTTTATTCAGGCGTTTTGTGTGAATGTAGCCTACACATGCAAGTAAAGTGTTATATCATGATTCAGTGTCTGCGTGCAGTGTAATAATTCAATTATGATAGAAATATTATTGTATCATTTAGCATTGGAAATGACGTGAAGATTTATGCAAACAGAGTGCATGAAGAAGAAAAAGGAGATAAGAGAGGGACAGCGAGAGATGTAGGGAAGGAGAGGTAAAATGGAAATGAAAGGGTATGTATGAGGATAAGTTTAAAAGGAGAAGAAATGATAAAGGGAAAGAGTTGGAGAAGTAGAAGA